GAGAGAGAGAGAGAGAGAGATGGAAACGTAGCAGTCGCAGCTTAAGATAAGAAGACCTGACAAGTCTTAAATCTGATTTTGGGTCCAAATTATATATTAGGTCATGAGTATTGCGGGCACACAGATCACATGCCTCCACAAGCCTAAAGCAAGCATCAGCATTGCAGGGACATACACTAGTTCATTTATGTAAGGAAGCAGCTGTGCAGATATCCTACCTCAATTTCATGCATAAACTTTACTTGCCTACATGCATGTAGGGTAGGTATGAAGTAGCCAACCAAATCATGAGATGACCTAGTAAGATCTCAAAATATGGTTTAGTCGGCTAACTTTTTTAATTTAGCGTCGTATTAAATTTTTTATTGATGCTGGGCTCTGGCTCTGACGATGTCCGTCATATGACGGTTTAAAGCTCAGCATGGATTCATTTGTCGCAGGACGATGAGCAGAAAATTTCTCCACAGAATAGAGTAGTCACAAGACCAAGGCAACCTACTTTCGATATCCAGTGAGACAAATTTATGAATCCCTTCCACCCGCCTTCTTAAATGAAATGAAAGTATTAATGTCAGCAAGTTACTAAGGTGCAACTTAAATAACTTAATTCTTATTACTAAAAGGACGATAAAAAAAACAAGTAAAATATGAGAAAATGTGGAAGGAAAGATTAAGGAATGCATCTGCTTAATTAGAAAATAGCTCTGATTCATAACTCGTGGTGGTTTTACTTTTCATTTTCGTGCTATTCAACAATGAGCGAAATTAAGTGCATGCTGGATATCTGTTGTCATCCCTTAAAGTCTTCATAAATGATAGTGACAGCAAACCTGCCTTACGACTGGCTCGATAATAGTCAAATGCCTTATGACGGATACTTTAAAGTGGGGAAGGGAAGGTTTCAGATAATTCTATTCTCTATTAACCCTAATTTAATCATCACTACAGGCAAACAAGCTTGTTATTCTTAAAGAGATCGCATAACATGAACATAGCCCTGAAATGAAAGCCAAAACGAGATTAAGCAAGGGCAGAAACCTTCATGTATACCTTCTATAATATTGGGTTTGATTAGGTTTCTAAGCTACCAGCGGAACTTAAATAATAACTGCATTCACATCAGTTAGTTTAACTAATATTCCTTCACCACTTTAAACAAAAAGGCTCTGACGCTTTGGATAAATTTGATAATAAAATGACAATTAAAATTTCCTAACCATGGCGCCAGCGGCCAAAGCTTCATTTGTTTCAGTCGAGAGGTTTCCTGAAGTATTTCCAGGGTCAGCAAAAACTTCCTCGGGTTCTTCTTTAGAAGTGGCGGCAGCAGAAGTAACATACTGAACGACAGAACAAGTAGACGAGGAAGAGGAATCTGGAAAGACCGGGGATTGAGGCTCCTCGACAGTCACACCCGCTTCGCAATTATCTATGCCACCAGCCAAAGTTTCGCTATCAGCCCCTGGCGTAATTGCCGCATCCAGATTGTCCAGTCGATCCGTGGGTACAGCCGGCAAGAGGAGCAAGTCATCATCGAGCAATGGCAGAGATTCTAGCCCTGAACCAGATGCCATAGAGGTAGGGACAACGGTGGCAGGGCTGGGTAGAAACCCGACAGAAGTGTGGCATTTCGCTCTAATTAATGTGGCCGTCTCAAGCAGAGATTCTATAGATACGAATAAGAGGAAGAGGGAGCATAGACGGGCTCGTGTGAGCTTGGGTAGTGTAACCAAGACGTAAAACTCATTTTAGGTTAATAAACAAGTAAATATAAATAAAATTATTAAAAATAAATAAAACATATATATAAAGCCGTAATCGTGTCTGACATATTTTGTATTTAAGGTAATCTGAGCCGAATGACATATGAAGGTGTAGCTCACAGCTGCTAGGGAAAAACACCACCTCGATCTGGGTTAATTGCAGGTCTCGATTCAGAGACCTACTCTGAATGGAGTTATATATTTCAAAGGTTGCGTAGTGTAAAATTTTATCGTATTCAACCTCTGGAAACACCTCCTGGATCATATATCTTTGGAAAAATATCATGAGTTTCAGGCGAGTAGGAACTGTAGTCAATTCCAACTCATTGTGCCTATAAGTGCATAAAACAAAGTAGATTGCTGAAATGAGTTTTGCAGGTATCTTTGAAAGCATTATAATTATATCCCAAATGAAGAGCGGTGAATCATTTCTTCGCCTTTCGGCTGTGTCAATAATAAGTCATATCATGATATGAGAAATACAGATTGATAAACGTATCAATTTTGGGAGCTACAAATCATAAAGCGGTAAAAACAATAAAAATAACAATGCAAATTAATGAAAAAGTTGGTTGACCTCATTTTCTCAACTTATCAAGGTGAATTAGTAGAACGCACCTCGTCCGAAGTCCTCTGCCGTAGTAGGCTTCATAATTCTCAGCATCAGACCATGGACTCGGTACATTCGCAGAAATTTTGACGACATCGTAATCGGTATCATCATCGGCTAAACCGACTCGGGCCTCCAATCTGAATCTTACTCATGGTCTTCTAGATCCATTTCATATCTTCTTGGTTGACCGATTTCACTCGGTTCCAGTCCCAGGATGTTGAAGTGATTCGTTCTAATGGGACGCTCAAGAAGAAATTGTTCGAAAAGAAGTCTTATGCCGGGATAATACCCAATTTCCAGTCCCATCATAATTAAAGGCTAGGAATAATGAGACGCATGATCATCCAAAGCCTACGTTTAACGGAAGTGGCATTCTGGGATTAAGAATTGGACAATGTGATTATGATAACCCTCAGCAACGGCTACCCAAGAGAATTAAGACAAAGAAACATACGGGGCGTGAAAAGCCGATGACAGAACGGTGACTACGCAAGAAAACTAAGGACGGAGAAGGATTTAATATAGTGGATACGACTAACTTCCTGTGAACTAACTCAAAAGCTACGACCAATATTAAGGAAATTGAATATTCGGGAGGCCATGAAAGAAGAAACAGCACTCTTCACAGGTCTACCGAGTCAATATGAAAGGGTGGACAAATTGGATTGTTCAGTAGTTTACCTCGTAGCATGTGGCACCTGAAAACAGAAATATATTGGCGAAACAGAGAGAAAAACTAGCATACAAATTAAGGACCATCAAAGGCTTTGCAGGAAAATAGGTACCAAAAGATCAGAATTAGCGGAACTCATCGCACAGACTGGACATAAGATCAATTGAGAGGCAACAGAAAGAAGGGCGTCATACAATGAAAACACGAGAAAGAGCAAGATTAGGGGGCCATTAACATGCTAGTGGGGAAATTGTAATACACAGGAGATTGGAAGAAGACAGTACCGACAACTTAAACAAACGCAGGGAAAGCAAGAATGCAGCAAGACCAGCAAAAAGGAGATGCGTGAATCAAGGATCTATCGCTAACCAGAGGAAAAGGAATCGCGATGAGAAGAAGGGGCGTGAAGTTTAGGCAATCAAGCGAAGATATTGTCAGTAAGTGATGTCTGTTCGAAGAAACCAGTACAACTTTGGTGTTCTGACAGTCTGGAAACTAGACAGACGGATAAACACAACCGTCACAGAAATTCGGCTTTGTGGCCAAAATGCACTAGAAATCTACTTGAGATACCGCATGTGGCCAGAGATAGGCGTCCACAGTTTGCTCAGGAAACATGGGTTTAATCAAGGAGACGATCCGTGAAGGGAAGACCTGATATCTCTAAGCATCGCAATCAGAGCCTAGGCGGTCTGCTAGGTTTTGGTGTCAATGTGCGTGCTTCTAAGGCCCTGAGAAAAAACGCCTGGAATAGAACGCAACCTTGGACAGGAACTGAGTGAAATATGTCAACTAGGAAGATAAGAAAGGGATCTACGAGACCATGAAGGAGATCCGGACAGGAGGCCTGAATCGGACTAGCCGATCAGAAGAGTGGGGGCCAGGATGAATAGTAGGCGTGATAAGGCCATAGTAACTTTGCCAAAAAGGGTACAAATTTTGACAAGTGGAATGTAAACAAGTGAAATTTTGTGATGTGCGGGAGTTGGATAAGAAGGTAAAGAGTTGATAGATGAGCCATGACAGAAAGAGAAGTGATAGTGGTTCAGTTGCCGCCAAACGTGGGTGGAAGGATTGACTTCATTTGTCTCTTTTGACAAGTTCGTAACTTGGCGAAGAGAATGACAAGATTCATTGATGGTGCTGACTACGATGCCGGCGAAACGTTTGAGAATGTACTAAGTCCACTGCCTGATGCTGGGAATATTGATAACTACTACTACCATCTTGTTCTTCGTATCTTCGATAAAATTAATGTATGTATATAGCGTGGCGAGTTTAATGGCAAACAAACGCTTGCTGATCGGAACAAAATTTCGCACAAAAATTGTGAACTTATTTATGCATGTCACATAACACAATAAAGGGTAGTGTGTTTGCTTCTTAGTCCCC